AATGAATTGGAATAGGCTGTGGAGGAATTTGTGTCCCAGGGAATAATAAAAAAATAGAGTAATCAGCCAGCAATTATGGAAGCCTAACAGCTTGCTGTAATACCAAGTGAAGCAGACAGCTTCACAGAGAGATCACAGGAAGAGATAGTCCAAGAGAGCTGTGCTAAAATTGTGTCATCCCAAGGTAGCTGTGTGCACATCAAGGCTGAATCTTCTGAGGAGTGACACCAAAGACTTCATACTGTGGGGGAAGAGATTTCACTGAAATAGTCCAGCCAAATCACTAAACAAACAAGCAAACAACAACAAAAACAAGACCTGGAGAGAAGGTGAGGGGAATCATTATACACAGTTGCCACAATGTATTACGTAAAATGTCCACTTTTCAACAAAAAGTGAGACATACAAAGAAACAGGAAAGTGTGACCCATACACTGGGAAAAACGGAGGCAACAGAGATGGTCTGTGAAAGGGTACGGATCTCAGATTTAATAACTTGAAAGCTGCCATTGTACCTTAGTTCAATGAACTAGAGAAAAATATGCTTGAAGGAGGAAGGTATGATGACAATGTTTTGTCAAAAAGAAAATATCAATAAAGAGATAAAAATTTTAAAGAAGAATGAAATGGAAATTATGGAGTTGAAAATACAATAACTAAAATGAAAAATGTCATTAGGGGGGCTTGACAGTAGATTGGAACTGAAGAAAGATAAGGGAACTTGAAGAGAAATCAACATAGCATACGTAATTTGAAAAAAAAAAAGAGAGAAAAGAATGAATAAAAATGAACGGAGCCTCAGAGAAATGTGGGGCGCTACTGAGTACACCAATATACGTGTAATGTGAGTCCCAGGAGAGAGGAAAAGCAGCAGAAAAAATACTTGAAGAAATAATGGCTGAAAACCCTACCTTTGCTGGAAAAAATCTACACATCCAAGAAACTAAACAAACTCCAAGTACGATATATGCAGAGATCCACACCAACACAGACCATGGTAGAAATGCTGAAAGACAAAGAGGAAATCTGGTAAGTTCCAAGAGAAACATGTCACCAGCTAGTGCCTCTGCAGGGAGCACTTCTCACCCAGCAGAGGTCCTGACTTCCTCCAGCTGCCTCCTCTGAACCCCCCCAGGTTAGATCTGCTCTGCCAGTGCTACCAGAACAGCAACTATTTCACCTTTTATAACCCGCATTTCACTTGTAGTCAGGCTTGGCCACATAATTTGTAGGGCCCAGTGCAAAATAAAAACGAGGGGTCCCGGTCCAAAACTTCTTAAGGATTTCAAGCCAGTGTTAGCAAAGCATTAAAATCAAGCTCAGGGACATCCTGAATGTGAAGCCCAATCCGAACCCATGAAGCTGGCCCCGCTTAGCTTCTCAATGTCTTTCTTACTAGATCTTAAGAAGCATGCAGCCAAGTACCCAGGTGGTGTCTCTCTTGCTCATCACTGAATTCCTTCAGTCTTTCCCAGTGGCTATCACAGTAGGCACTTAATGAGTTTGCAGCATATTCAACTTACTTATTTCTTGCTAAACAACAAGAACAGCTAGTTTTTGCTCCACTGTATGTGGTACTTATTACATTGTTTCTTTCATAAAAGCCTCATCTTTCACTGTGTTCTAGCATGTTGACCTTTTCAGAAGTAAAGAGTACATACAGCTTAAGCCCAATTATTTTATATTTATATTGCAGTTCTTAAATAATTTCATCATATTTATAAACCCACTGAACAGAATACTGCTTTTTTTCTCAGTTGATCTGTTGGATATGCAGGTTTTAGTACCTTCTATTTCATTTCACAAGTATCCCACCGTATTAACCACTGTTAGCTTTGTTTTTAATAAGTACTCAGCCATTCTAGAATTTTGAACTTGTTGATGTGTGAAACACTACCTTAGCTTTGGATTCCACTAGAAGCCTCCATCTTCTATACTATATGTATGGTTACAACGGGTGTGAACAGGTAAACGGTGGAGTCTTTGGAACTTTATCAAACTTCTCTGTGCCCGTTTCACATCTAATGACATAGGGATACTATGACCTACCTCACAAACTTCACTAAAGAGAATTATAGGAAGTGCCTTAGATGGGCACCTAGGAGAGTCCTTAACACTTAGCAGATATACAGCAGACATTAAATTATTGTTCTCCCTCTTATACGACAGGGTGTTGCCTGGATCTGCACGAAATGCTACCATCTACTTTTCTAATTCACCGAAGTTTTTATTGCTTACCGAGAATCACCAGATGTTAGGTGGGTTTTGAAATTCTTCTGATTTAAACATGCTAATAATCAACATGTCTCATTAATCACAGTGCTCTAGCATCAACTGAGATTTACTTCATACAGTAATTCACTCTGCCAAAATGTGCGTTCTGAAAAGCTGGAGTTGCAAAATTCTCACAATGAAATGCAACGTTTCAACGTAACCAAACAACATTTTAAATAAAGTATTTCACTTAATCCCATGATTCATATCATGATCCTTCAGTTTAATGAATTTAGCAGGTTAATACCTGAGTTATTAATAATCTTTATTAACATATTTTCCTTATTGAATACAAAATGAACCACTACAAACTACAGCCACAATCATCAGGAGATCAAAGCCACTGAGCAAGTAGACAAGCTATAAAAAAAACTTTATTAAAAAAAATAGACAACATATGTAAACATCTTTTTCAGTCACAAAGCTTCATAATACAGCGTATCAGGCCCAGGCCTCAAATCTCTGCAGTGGGAGCACCTTAACTGTTGACTAATAGTAATCAGCTTAATTTATCTTTCAGTGAGCTATTAAGTCTATGTGAAAATAAATAACCAGATTCCGCTAAGTATACCTATACACATAGAAAATCACAAATGTACAATAGATCTCAGCAAAAAATAACTATCTGCAGTAACATGTGAGATCGAGTCCTTATATGACAATTATCTTTTTAATGTAACTTCATTTCTAAAGTCATCATAATGTAGAGTTGACTAAAATAAAGCTAAACAGGAACAGAGTAGAGGGACCACACAGACGGACATCCATCACTCCCTGACCCTCACACAAAGTGCCCCCCCCCCCCACACACACACACATACGATGTTTTGGCAGAAGCAAAACTGAAAACACAGTTTCTGTATTTCGTGATTCATGTATTACTGTAGGCATGTATTTCGTTTACTTTTAGCTGGAAGTTACATGCCCTCATATGACTGAGTGTGGAATAGCCAACCACAGTTTCAAATGTGATACAATTTTGAGGAAACCAAATCTCTGTTATGTAATTCAACGACCACCCAAAAGTGAAGCCAAATCATAGAATGGACCATGACACCACAAAATGTAATTAAGGACCTGAGATTGTGCTTCAAGAATTTCCTTAAGGCAAAATGCGCTTATATTAAAATAATCCTTTCATGCCCTGTTCATCATTTGCAGTGGCATATTTGTTAGATGACTAAGAGGTTCTAAAATGGCCAAATAATATAATTTTCCTCCTTTTTTTTTTTCCTACTATAGGTAGATACTTTATCACACCTGATTAAATCACTGACCTTCCAGTTATTCAGTAAACCTTAACCAAGGCAAAATTTTAAATGAAATATCAAGTAATGTTTGCAATTAAAGTTTTTCACTG